GGGCTTCCGGTTTCTCTTAAATGGCATAGCTAATCGATATTAGTGAGTTTATAATAATCTCAGATACAGTAGTTATTGAAGCATGGAGGTAGAATGTTATGATGATGGATGTTAGTTATAGTAAAATTCATTACAAATTGAAAAACGAACAACATTTACTCGAAATTTAGGATAAGCGTAAGTCTTGCCGGTGTTTGCGTAAGACCGTAAGATTTGATTGGAATGGGTAAGGCTTATGGCGAATGCGTACGGGTTGACAGGTCTGTATCATGTTTTTATTATATAAACATACATCAACCACATACCTTACGGTACAGGTATGCATATCAAAAAGATGCAAAAGATTACACACAATAAAGTGTTTGCCACAGAAAACATCATATCTCGAAAGATACATGTTGGCCAATTAACAAGCTATTTTGTCTATAGCTAATTAATTATTCATATATTAACTGATTTATTGCACATAATTTACCATTGAGGGGCAATGGTTGTATGATTAGAAACATTAACATTCGTTAATTATCGAAAAATGTAATATTATTATTACGGTTGTATTCACCCATGTGAAAATTATAGAAAACCGATTATGATAATGAATTTCCAGAACAAGTCTGATTGCTTGCCGGCTTGCGTTTATAATAAATCCAGGATTAATATTAATGCTCACATGGTTCGCGAAAGGTCATGCATTTCGAAGAGACTGAGGTATTCTACGATGACGTAAATATGGATTACTGTAACACATCGATTGCTTACAACAAGGCCCCACATTATATAAAAATGTTGCAAAGCAAATACTCATGTACGGTCGTTGGTCAGAACATGGAGGTATAAAAAAGGAGACAGTACACGAAGATAATATTATTATTCGAATCCATCTGATATGATTTAAATTGAATACCATAGGCCCACATTACTGAGCAATATCGTAGGCCGTTCAGCATAATATGCTGTTTGAACCGCACCACACGACGAATAGAACAAACGCTGTGACCATGCTGTGACTAAATTTTGTAGATACATATCAGCAAATGTTCAGAACAGATAAAATTGTTTACCTGAAATAACTATGACTTCATTTGGTCCACACACCTCGAACCCCATGATTTGAAATTAATACAATTTTTTGGTGGTTATAGGCTCCTTAGAATGGTCATAAACGCCCTCCTTACTAAACACACAGACGCAGACGTTTTCCTTGTACAGTGTAGGTAAAGGTTATACGTATTGGAATATTAATTCTCTACTTGTAATATTAATACTCAAAGCGTTAAATATTCAAAACACCATGAACAAGTCATACCGTCGCTTTTGTTTGCTGTTGAATGAATTTCGCAAGGAAGTTAATAGCCTAAGTATGGTGTCCGTAGTGTATGTCATGAAAAAGGATTTCGGCTGGCATATTATGATTCAAGTGGCGCGATTGGCCCTGCATAATTGTGAAATCATTTTTTTTTAATCAAATTATTTTGCATTTTTCGATAGATACACCCGTCCTAGTAGATACCATTCTATAATAGGGTAATGCTTATTTAATAATAACGACATTTAGTTTCAGTTATTATTTCATTATTGCAGCTCACTAGAACACAAAATGTTCACGCGGTGGCTGAAGTTTGGGGAAATGAACCTCATTCAAACAATGCACACCTCCCTCTCCTGCGCACCATATCATAAAAAAAAACTGGATAGACCCCTGATATTTAGTGATTTATTGTTGTTAGCAATAACTCTGTCACCTTCTAGATCTGTTGTCTATCTACTTCTAATAAAAAAAGAATTCACTAAATAATCTAAATTGCTTATAAGGTAATCGGGAATGATCACTAAAAGCAAGCATATCACATGAGACAAAATGTAATGTTATTTAAAAACAATTCAAGTGACAATATATACATTCTCATCCGAGCGTGAAAATCAAGTTATTGTATCAAGCCGAATTCGACAAGCTAAGTTTAATTAAAATCGTACCAGACAGTCTTTCACGCCAAATTCAATAAGATATGAGATTTAGCATATTTTCTTCCGTAGATTAATATATGTATTGTACGGCCCCTCAGAAGAGCAGTGCTTTCACTAAGAGGGTTACCGTACCCTACTGACAGACAATGGACATAAATAAATATGTCGGAGATTATTATACTTTTATCAACCCAAAGGCTAAATATATAATGGCATTGCCGCATGTTTCGGTTTCTTTCTCTTTAAATGATCGTAGTTTTAAATCGGTTAATACATTAGTACAATCAGTGGCGTAACGCATGTGCTCTCGTGCGGCAGTCCGCATACAATTTCTATGGAACGCTAAAAGGACAAATTACAAGTGGCGCAGTGCAAAAGTCAGTCGCAGTGCAAAAGTCAAGTGGCGCAGTGCAAAACTAAAGTGGTGCAGTGCAAAACTAAAGTGGCGCAGTGCAAACGCAAAATGCGTGTGCAACCACTTTATTTTTGCACTGCGCCACTTGACTTTTGCACTGTGCCACTTTCGTTTTGCACTGCGATTGTAGTTTGTCCTTTTCGCGATATCACGCCAAAAGGACAAACTACAATCGCAGTGCAAAAGTCAAGTGGCACAGTGCAAAACTAAAGTGGCGCAGTGCAAAACTAATATGGTGGCACACGCATTTTGAGTTTGCACTGCGCCACTTCAGTTTTGCACTGCGCCACTTGAATTTTGTACTGTGCCGCTTGCCTTTTGGCAATATTGTATGGAACGACAATTTAGCATTAACATGGGAATTAACTTAATTTTTACTAGGTAGGCCTATATTATTATTATTATTATTATTATTATTATTATTATTATTATTATTATTATTATTATTATTATTATTATTATTATTATTATTCATATCCCCAATAGGGAACCTCGGCCCCCGTCGGGCAAATTCTTCTGCCACCCCTCAAACTATATTTAGGCAAAGATAAACTAAAACAATAATTACATACACATTCGCAAACGTATAGTGTAGCCCAAGAGAATGAATTTTTCTTTCTTTTATTGAATGTTCTTCTGGAAATTAAATCCGACTTTAGTAGTATGTTCCATCTCCTTTTTAAATCACCATTTACACATGTAATTAATTAGGATCCAATTCCTCAATCATCTACATCAACAATTGGATACTGAAATACACAGGTTTAATATTTAATACTAATGAATTTAATGAGGATGTGATATTATGAGTGTCGGTACAGTACCGTACGTATAGTCTAGTGTCCATTCACCTTGGTCATTAAATGTCTATAGAATAAACTTGATATTTTTGATGACGGAATACCGTACGTCTCGTATTTTTCTGTATTCTTATTTTTATTTATTTATTTATTGCCATTTTTCTGCTGTTTTGATAGGCCTACCTTTAAACCCATACGCAACCGCCTTGTTGCTGCTATGTATTTTTGTTGTGAAGAACATTGAAGTTTGAATAAATATAGCTCAAATAATAAAGTGTTATTCGTATAACTAAAAAACGCACCCACAAAGTATATCGTTGCAGCACCGTGAGCCTAAATCAAGCCTGTTTATGTTTTCAACTTCTTTGGATTTATTGGGCTTCTTTTTCTATTAAAATAATGTTACATTCGATTTATTTTTCTATCAATATTCATTTTGGGCCTCTACTTCTTTTCTTTACATTTACATGTTGTTATATGGATTACATGCCAATACATACTTATTATACGCACACACGCCAATCATTTTTATTTACTCGAGGGTCTCTGCGCTCAGTGAAGATTGTCGTTCCAACCAGGACACATAATTTCCTCGCATCATACAAAGTTAAAATGGAAGACATTTTATTGTCACTTGGGTAGACAATTTCGAAAGAGAAGGGGAAAGCCACAAACATATTTTATTCTAATAAATTAATCAGTAAAGTACAGATATATAAACGATAACTTGCATTAGCCGGGTGCCTAATTGTCGAAGATAGGTCAAGGATAGGACTAGGTCTTAGTATTACGACCATAACACATGGAATAAACATTATCATTTCATATTAAGTTAAATAACACCAAAACCCATCTAGCTCCGCCGCTGACCATTATTATCAGGCCAAATATAAAAAAAAAAAAAAATTGGCCACGCCCAACCGACGCAAATTTTACGAAATTCAGGGTCGGTCGGCATTTTAGCGTTTGTTTTTTTTTTGGGTTTTTTTTTCATGAGCTTGTAAGTCTGGAATATCCTTGGACAGGGATAAGAAACTAAGGCCTAGGCCTAGCCTATTTTGGTGCATGTAAGCAATGCAAATCCAAAATTGCTGTATTAATTAGACCTATTTGTGCATTCTCTACTTTTAAGTGTAAACACATTTTTTAGTTTAAAAAAAGTTGTCCTATCGACCAATCTATTTTATGCATATTATTAAAAAAAAGGCCAGCACAATTTTTTTTGTTTTATTATTATCATATTTACAATGATGTAGAAACAAAAAGCAACAGATTTTTTTTTTCAAACTTACCGCTGATATCACTCGAAAGGTCACACTCTCTTAATCGGAAATTACGCCGGAGGCTTTTTATGGTGCTTACGCTTACCTCCATTTCTTCAGCATTTTCTTTTTTTATTTGTATAACCCATCACTACCAAAGCTTCTAATTTGTCTCTGCCATGGCTGACAACTGTGCTATAGGCCTTTATTTGCGGTAGTAACGATAAATAGAATAGATAAGCCTAGGCTACGGTATCTACGACAAGTATGCCTATGATCATAACGTTCCTATTTGTGTTTTAGTCCCAAATTTTTGTGCTGTTGTTGTTTTGCTGTGAAATTATTAAGAAAAATTGAATTATGAGTTCTTGATTTTTTTATTCATTTATTTTATTTAGTTTAATTTTGATGCCAAAATTGGCGTTCCATACAATATCGCCTAAAGTCAAGTGGCGCAGTGCAAAAGTCAAGTGGCGCAGTGCAGAAGTCAAGTGGCACAGGGCAGAAGTCAAGTGGCACAGTGCAAAATTCAAGTAGCAGCACACGCATTTGGATTTGCACTGCGCCACTTTAGTTTTGCACTGCGATTGTTGTTTGTCCTTTTCGCGATATCACGCCAAAAGGACAAACTACAATCGCAGTGCAAAAGTCAAGTGGCACAGTGCAAAACTAAAGTGGCGCAGTGCAAATCCAAATGCAGCAGTGCAAAATTCAAGTAGCAGCACACGCATTTTGTTTTGCACTGCGCCACTTTCGTTTTGCACTGCGCCACTTTAGTTTTGCACTGTGCCACTTGACTTTTGCACTGCGCCACTTGTAATTTGTCCTTTTGGCGTTCCATAATTTCCTGCTAGCCATCTAGAGGTGCCATAATAATTAATGTTCTTGCCTTGGTGGGGCTGAGGTGGCATAGACCACCGTTCCGCAACCTATGGGTCGCGACCCAATGTTTGGGTCGCGAACAAAAAATTATCGGTCGCTTAATCTCTTCAGAGCGTTAAAACTTTACTTAACACAAACGAAGCAAACATCATAGTAAACGAAAGTGCAATTTCAAGTGTGACAAGTGCATCAGTTTACTTTTGTTATGCGTGCGTTACTATCACAGTTTCATGTTAACAATATCAAAACATTTGTACTTCCGGTATGACAACTTTAAAGTATTAGTTTTGTTTATTTTGTGTCTGAACATAGCCTTTGTTCATTAATCGAGTGGTGTGAACTTGTGCGCGGTGTAGCGAACGCCAGTTTTATCGCGCAATCACTGGCGTACGGTAATCCAGCAGACCCCAGATTAGCGTACGCCACTGGTTTACGACAGTCACGCATCGGTGATTTTGAACTCAGCCAAGATTTGACCAATCAAAATAAACCTAGATGTAAACAGAAAATAAAATGCGCGAATTACGAATACGAATATTT